TTAAAAACACACAGCAAAGTGTACTTCAGTGTGCCCAAAGAGCTGCAAATGGTGTTATTCTGTTCAAAAATAAATTATGGTCGTAAACGGTGAGGAGCCTCGTTACAGTGTACACACAAACTATAAGCTATATGCGAAAACGGCCGTTGCCTTAAAAATTACCCTCTTAATTGAATTTAACTGTATGATCAATATTGCTTATGAAAATAAATAATCCCCAATATCTAATTCCCCCAATAATTTCACATGTCTCCACCTTAGTAATTGTTCTTGTAGATACTTAAGTAATAAACATTGTTTTAAATATGTTCAATTCACTTGTTAATGTATGGTTATAATGTGTGATTTATAAAATGAATTAAGATTCTGTTGCAGGTTGATATTTCTGCCCACTCTATGGTTGCTCTGGAATTCTCATCAGTCCTAATTAAAGAGTCAACTAAGCTCTTTGTTCAAGAAAATAGTCAGTTGGATATTTCAACTGATTTTCTACTATTACAAGAGTCCTATATTTATATAGATGGAAAGATTAATGTAGTTGGTAGTAAATTTTTGGGAAACAGAAAAATAATCAAAGTTATCAACAATTCAATATACAGCATGAAAAAAAATACCTTAAACATTTTTGGTGACAACAATAAAGTAAACTTTACCGGAAAAGGGATTTACAGAAGTGATATTGGAGACATAGTGACAGTGATGGTGGAGATAAAAGGAGTAACTTTTACGAACAACCGTTTTGGCTGCAATAACTGTGCAAACAAACAATCATTTCAAGCCAAATACCGCCAAGATATAGGAGAAGAAAACTTTTGTGATCTGTCCTGCAATCTTACTCTATCCAGATATAAAGCACTTTTGGACAAAGAACTTATTTGTGACAAAGGTGTCTATGAGGATGATCATGATTTGTGTTTAAGTGACAGTGATGCAATAACAAACATTAGAAGTGATTTCCAATACTCTTGGATTCTGATACCTGTGATTTGTGTATCCATTTTTTGTATATCAACCGTCTTATATTTCTATTGCAGAAGAACTGCGCCTAGTTTTATATCTTTGCCAGTTGATAACACTGACATAAACACTGGTGCTATACCATCAGAGTTACTATCAACAAACAATCAACAAAACCAACAATTTGTATCAAGATCTTATAATAATGAAATGTATGCTCATGTTGAAAACAATCCAGAGGATAACCTTTATGAAATAGTGGACTAACCCTCTGAACAAACCTTTGACCACTTCATCTATGGAATTGTGGTACACTGGTAACAAAGATAATTTTTTTATAATTCGTGATATCATATTTTTAGTAAATGTCATTAAAACAATGTTTTTTTTTACTGTTTTACTATTATTATGTATTTGTACTATCGATCAGAGGTACCCGTCCCCCCCAATTCATACTGTCCCTTTCTTTACCACCCCCCCCCCAAAAAAAACCAACTACCACCTTTCCACACCGAAACGAATAATTCAAGGATTTTCTTAAGTTAAAAAATAGTATAAACACCAGTTAACTGTCAACACAGAATTGTTTATTAGGAACATTAGTTTTCCCGATGCTCAAACGACTAATGCTCAAACTGAAGAATTCCTTTCATTATTAAATTCTTTCAAACTTTCCACAACAATAAAGGTTCCCACTCGGGTTTCAACTCTCTCCAGAACATGTCTTGATAATATTATTACTAATTTCAGCCTTAACATTATGTATGGTGGCGTCGTCCTGTAATCCAGCTACTAGGAGGTCAGGAATTGTGGATATTTATAGAGATTCACTGTGGATGTGATACTCCCTGGTGTGGATTAACGTCCACACTAGTGATTACTACGTCTATCCACAGTACTATCCTGATAATTAGACCAATTTGTTAATACCAAGGCAAGAATGTGGTTTGGATTCCACTATAAAACTTTAGGTCCCTTAGTTGCCAAATTTTGGCTATTACTTAACAGCTGTGTCCAAGGAATATGTTGGCCTTATAGTCACTAACAAGACTACAAGACACTCATCCTACACTCATCCTTTACTCATATTTAGGTTAAAATATTCACATATTGGCATCCCCATCTTAAATAATTGATAATTGATAATTGTTGTACAAAATTGTTTATCTGACCCAGGGCCGTCCCTAGGGTTGGCGGCGCCCGGAGCAAACGTGGTCTTGGCGCCCCCTCCCCCCCAGTAATAGTCACATTCACATATTTTAATACTATGTTAATAAAAATAGCCACTATGCGGCGCCCCCTCAGCCACGGCGCCAGGGGCGATCTGACCACCTCACTCAGTATCTTAATGAGAATTGTGATTCTATCATTAGGAAACATAAGGAACCTGTTATTAACAAAAAAAAAAAAAAAAAAACAATATTTGTGAGACATTTTTCTAGGTAAAATAGTTCTAACTTCATTTAATCCTAATCTAAAACAATCGCGTGTACGGACAAACTTTTATTTTTGTCCGCGGTTTTTTTTGTTTGTTTTTTGTTTATTAAGGGGTATTTGGCCAAGAGAAAACTATTTGAGTTGGTCACAAGGCTGGGAAAATCCAGTTTCCGCCCTACAGCCCTTTAAAGTAACCATGTTATCATCAATACCTTTTTGTAACTGCGTAAAAAAGCAACAACGCTTCAATATACAAAATTATTTCTTTTTTAAGCTCTACAAAATGGCCTGGAAAGAAATTGTGAAATTTTATGTTTTTAGAGTCAAAAATGGGAAAACCCAATTTTTACCCCATAAAACCCCCATAAACTCCCGTTCCCATAGTCCGATCATGCTGAAAATTGCTCGAGTTATCGTGCTAATGGACACACACACACACACACACACACATATATATATACAGGGTGTCCGGTCATAACTGTTAAATAAAATTTTGCATCAAACTACATGGTAATGGCAACCTAATGAAGCACATTTGAGGTTCCCAACCTCAACCGTTAGGGAATAACAAATAAATTAAGGTTTTCCAAAAATGATTGTAGTTGTCATGAAAAAAGGTTATATTACTCTGTTAAAAATGCACTAATAGTTAATTTAAATGTCATTTTCAGAATCTTCGCAACATTTTAAATAGATATAACAGATAATCGTTGGGGAACGAAAAAATGTTCTATTTAAATTTCTTCGTCAAACAATTATTTTTAATATCGACGAAAATTTAGATAACATTCAGCAATTTATTTCTCGGTTAGCGAGTTCCGCTGAGTTAAACAAATATTACTAAAAACTTCCTTTTTTAAAGGGTTTTACAATGATGTATAACTACTTTTATCTACTGTCAAATCTATGGTGAATTTTACGCGGTTAATCCAAAACAGACATTGTAAAAAATAATGAATTTTACTTACTATTTTATGAGCTGACCACTGATGATGAGGGTTTGTGTAGTTTATGATTGACCAGACTACACTTTCATCATACTAAAATATTTTTTGTTTAGACTTTGGAAAATTTGTTATAAAAAACACAATACATTAGTAAAAACACACAATACAAATCAAATCATTGACATACTTTGTCCGAAGCACAACTTTTATTAAGGTGGAATCACAGTTTGGGTGTAAAGTACCCTTCCGTTTTCCCGCAAGCAGGCCCTATTTCGCTTGTGAATTGCGCCAACTGTGACCTCAGACGTCAATTTTTCCCTTACTTCCCCAGCAGCCTCAAAGATTCTCTCCCGTAACTCAACTTCAGAGTTAACAACAGTCGAGTAATCTAGACCTTTCATGTAACCCCAAACAAAAAAATCTAACGGGCTCAAGTTTGGAGATCGAGGAGGCTATGTCACAACACTTCCTCCACGCCCAATCCATGTCAGGAAGTTTTGGGATAGCCACAACCGAACTTCCGCGAGTTAATTGTAATCTTATCCGAAATATGAAAAATATACGATAACCGTAACTTTATCACAATCATATTTTGTTACTATATGTTTCTTTTCTTAGCTTAATAGTTATAAAAAAAAGCGTTCCATGCGAGGAAAAAATACAAATTATTCGTTGCCTGCACTTAAATGTATTATTCTTCACAATTAGCTTTTCTTTGCCCTACCATGTTTGTTCACAACAATGATTGAATTACATTAGGAAGTTTGAAACTTGGTAAAAACTATTATACACCATTGTAAAGCCCTTTAAATAAGGAAGTTTTTAGTAATATTTGCTAAACTCAGCGGAACTCGGTAACGAGAAATAAATTTCTGAATGTTAATTAAATTTTCGTCGGTATTAAAAAAAATTGTATAACGAAGAAATTTAAGAATATTTTTCCGTACCATAACGATTATCTGTTATATCTATTTAAAATTTTTTGAGGATTCTGAATATGACATTCTAAATGACATTTAAATTAACAATTAGTGCATTTTTAACAGAGTAATATCATAGACAAAAAGAATTAGTAATATAACCTTTTTCATGACAACTACAATAATTTTTGGAAAACCTTAATTTATTTGTTATTTCCTAACGGTTGAGGTTGGGAACCTCAAATGTGCGTCATTGGTCGCCATTACCATGTAGTTTGAGGCAAAATTCTATTTAACACTTATGACCGGACACCCTGTATATATATATATACATATGAATTCGAACGGAGGGTGTTTTTGGCCTTGGGGGACCTCAAAACGAAAAAGTAAATCGGTCCCGGGTCTATGTCTTACCATGAGACCTACGGCTTCAAATAGGTAATAGCTTATTCCCTATATGGGAAATTCGCAAAAAAAACAAATACTGCTCCTAGTAACAAAAACAGATTTCCTTTTTCTCTCAATCTAAAAATATTAACAATCAAACACTACTTTAAACGGTCTATTAGGATTAGGAAATACTTCAATAGAAGTCAAAAAGGATTTGTAACACCATTGATTATAATATTAAATACTAATTTAACCAATGGTAACGCCACAAACAAGGGAACAGGCTTGTCCCCAGTTCTGTCTCTAATTTTACCTCAGCTTTGTTTTTTAGTCAGAGCAGAGCTCTCAGCTGGTCTGACACCGTCCTTCAAACAGACGACACGCTTGTTCCAGTTCTCGAGTTGTTTCTGTTTACCGGTACTTCATGGGTTTCTTCCTAGTATGTTCCTAATCTTATTATTTCCTAGTTTTGTTTTTCTAACAGGATTCGCTCACGTTCAAATTCAAAGATATATCGCACTTTGCCCTGTTTGATTTAAGCTGTTTGTTCGTTATCGTTTATTGACGTTCTCTGTTCTTTGCTAACTTTACTTGGTTTCGTACTTATTCCTTTTACTTCCTTGCTAATAAATTATAATAATTATTGTATGCCTAATGTTTTGATCACATTAGCTCATAAAGTGCACACTTACACATTTTTATTAAATAAAAAATGTCATTGAGGGTAGTTAATTTTGGCCTGAGACTAGTCAGTTTGATAGGATTTGTTTTGGCAGTGTATGCTTATATCGTAGAAACTTCCAAAGAACATAACCCAAGCTATGTTGCTATGTGTGATATAAATGAGCATATGAGTTGCAGCAGAGTATTCACTTCAAAGTAAGTTTAGAATTATGTGTTGTTTTCTTCTTAGACATAAGTTATATTTAACAGTTAAAAAAAATTACCTAAGTTTAACCACGTTTAACACTCATGGCTCTGTAGTTTACTTTACCTTTTTAACTTATGTTTAAACTTAGATTAATTGTAAGTGAATTGGGTTTCGACCTAGTAACTTAGTAGTATTTTCATATAACTGTGCATTCAAAGCGGACATTGATTCATGGATTAACTTTTTATTTATACCTTGCAATTTAAATTCATCACACCAATGACTTTTGTTAAATTACTTGAACGGTACTAAACAGCACGTTACCTGAACGGTACAGGTCTGCAGCAAAATAAATTAAACATCTAGGAACAAATAGCAACTTCACCTGAAGTTGATAAAGTTAAACTAAGTTAGGCTAATATAAATTTTTCTTGTGTACACTTCCGTATCTGTTGTCAAAAACAACCGAATGAAAAATTATTCGATAACTTATACCGATGATCGATATTTTCATTTGGTTGTTTTTTACAACAGATACGGAAGTCTACCCTTCTTTTTAAACAGATTGTATTTTTCATCGCTTTGTCAATAAGCCCCTGGTTATTGTTAATGTTTCCGTTTGTGTTATTGGAAACTAACTTAAAATGTCACGTCAATTTCAGTGAACTGGAACCTTTGATAGCCTATTTACTTAGCCTACAGTCAAATGTTTTTAAGTGTATACCTACAAACAAAATTACAAGATTGATTGAAAATTAAATTTCCTTGCTGTGCCTTTCATACTTAGTGAAGTTTTTAGTAGACTAATGAAGTTGTGCATAGACTTTGACAAAGACTTTTATTTAACAACCATAACTTCAGATCAATTACCAGACATGACAGAGCTATGATTTTGTTCACCTACACAAAAATCATAGGTAGGCCTACCGGTAGCTCTAAGAATTGAACCTCAATTTTTATGTTTCAAATATAGCCTAGTTGTTCAGTCCTGATTTGGTAAATTATTTTACCATGCAAAGATTCAGACGGAACTTTTAATTATTAACTTAGTAGGCCTACAGTTCAACAAGATTTGAGGAAATTTAAGAAACTAAGCTTAGCTTGATAGGAGGTCGTGTAAGCAATTTTTACTCAAAAGTAGGCCTACCTATTTGGAAAATTGCTTACCTGATTAAAATTTGTATGTAGGCCTAGTAAAATTATCATAAAACATTGGACTAAGTAATGATTTTTTTCAAATTTTATAGGCTGAAATTCAGGAAGCTAACTTAGGGATGTAAAATATGAGTTTTACGGTAGGCTACTACCTAATTAAATTTAGGTCTAAGTACATTTAGTTATTCCCAATAAATTTCTGCCTAGCAGAATACATTTTGCCTTTGAAAATCTTATAAGAGCTTAAACACAGCTCTGCAAAATCAAAATTTAAGTGATCGCACAACTTTCAGACTTCTAGAGGCCGTACTACCTCCACTATTCCCCACACAACCAAACAGAGGTTACTTTCAGCCCTTGTAGATTATTTCAGAAACAATTACAAATTTTTTGTATAAGCTAAAGTCATATTAATCAGAACTACTAAAGTACATTGAATATTACCCAGTAGGATAGCCTACACAATATTTGACACAAAAGAACAATTAATTATCAGGGTGGCTAGTGAAATCACATTGAAAAATTCCCTAACTTCTCCCTGACAATTCCTCCATGATTTTTTTAAACTTTCCCTGATCGACAAATTCAAAATTAAAATTTTAATACTAACTAATTCTTCAAAAGGACTAATCTATCTGAAGAATATCTTATGTTTGTTTATATGAAAAACATACATAAAATCTATAGATACAGGCTAGCTTATATTCAAACTTTGCAACTTACCAATAAAATTAAACTGAGTTTGATAAGATGATGCAGTTTATAGCAAAATTTAATTGTACAGGCATATTTCTTAGTTTTCACCCACACGGCACACATACTCTCACCAGATCGACCTTTCCTAACAATTAGGTATTAAAATTATTTTAAACCTTTTACAATTTTCCCTGACTTATGACAAAATTCCCTGACTTTTCCATGACTTTTTAATGTCAATTTCCAGATTTTCCAGGTCACTAGCCACCCTGAATAAGATTTATACGCTTATTTGTATTAATGTTGTCTAGGTATGGTCGAGGATTTGGCCTTCTTTACCACCTGGTTGGAAAAGACTCTGTCTTGAATCAACCGAACAGTGTTGGAGGAATGATATTCTATATCATAATGATCACATTATGTAAGTAGTTCTACAAAACGGCACACGGAAGATTTCTCAGGTGCCGTTTGACGTCAATAACTGCTGACGTCACTTTGAGGGAACACCATTACCGCAACGATACGGCTTTGAGCCATCGGCCTCGGTGGTGTAGTGGATAGCGTGTCGGGCTGATAATCCGAGTGTACCGGGTTCGAATCCCGCTGGTAGCACTAACTTTTTGTCAACAATTTTTTTCATATCAGCAAGTTTGGTTGATTTGGTTAGGTTATGACAGTTTAATTTTATAATTAAAAAATTATAAAATTGAATTTTAAGCATTTATAATTTTATTTTATGAAAAAAACTATTTTTTAGATTAGTAAACCTTCATTAGATTTTTTCATTATCAGCACGTTTGGTTAGGTTATGACAGTTTAATGATAGAAAAATTATAAAATTGTCTGTTTCTTCAGACGCAGCAGTTCTAGTGACGACAAACGGCAGCTAAGAAATCTTCCGTGTGCCCCACCGAGTAGTTCTAAACGAACATTATTATTTTTTATTTTAGGTTCCAGGTATACCTAGTATAAGAGGTTTTCACTTTGTTAAAAAAAAATTCACACAGCTGGTTTAAACATATTAAATACTGCACGAATATTAAAACAGAAAGGTTATGACATACATTGTATCATAAATATAAAATAACTAGCTGTACCCGCGGGCTTTGCCCCGTTTTACTTCATAAGTGAGCTCGTTCGCATGGCTCAATCACGTCCTGGTTAAAGTTCGTTCGCTACGCTCACTCACCTTTAGGTTGGAGCTCGTTCGCTGCGCTCACTTGCTTTCGGGTTAGCTCATTCGCTACGCTAACTCGCCTCCAGGATGAAGTTCGTTCGCTACGCTCACTCACCTTTTGGTTGCAAATTAGCTGTTGTCATAGATTTAAAAAAAATAATAATAGTGCTGCACCCTGTTGGTAATCCTTGTAAGTTTTAAATGCTTTTGCATATCATAGAATCAACTTTTTAGTTGAAACAGCTGACTAAATTATTTAATTCCCTTTTAATATGAATACTCATAAGGTTAGCATGGGGAACTATAGAGCCACTGGGGCGGAGCCCGAAAGGATTTTTGAGATAAGAATATGCCTATATGTTAATCGGGAATGTGAGCTATCATCATGCCAAATTTTAGCAAAATCCGTCCAGTGGTTAATGCGTTCACTTGTCACAAACATACATCCATACATACATCCAAACTTTCTCATTTATAATATTAGTAGGATGATGTCACTCGCCCGAATGTAAACATGATTTAACATTACCTGAATGGAGCTGTCAAACTTAGTTACAACAGTTACTTAATTTGTTTATGTTTATGATCCATACTGAGACTGTTCTAATATTTGTGAAAAGTTGTAGGCCTAGGCCTAATACTACAATTTTACTGGGAAAAATTCATTGTAAAAGAAATTATTCATGGATATAGGAAATACGAGTAATTGAGATTCTTTTAATCGTTGCAGTCTCAACCTAGGCTCTTATCCTGAGTTTTATGAGAATTATTTTTTGGATGTATTTTTGTGTAAAGAGTAATAAAACCCCTGCCGCAGCAAACCTGCAGACTGCGAATTTCCAATTGCCTCATTATAGTTTCACTAAAATATTTTAGAAAATTACACCACAGACAGGTTTGGAACTACTGTATTGTGATAGCTCTTTGTTTACAATACAAACCATTCAACATGTTATTTGATTATACCTTAAAATCTATCATTGATTTTGTACCCTAAGTGTTTACAGTCTCAGTTAACAAAAACATACCATTATCAAGTTAAGTAATACAGTTCAATTTCGTTTCTAAATAAAATGGTAGGAGTGAAAACATTTTTAAGGCATTTTCAATTTCTAAGTACCAACATTGTTCTCTTTTACATATTGACCCTGTTGCAAGGCACGGGTATAGCTGCTAGTTTAAAATATTGACGATCCATCAGTTTGTATGTTATTTCATTTCATTTCATTTCATTTATTTCCACGGCAAATAGCCAATTTGTACATGACAATTCAAAAATACATGATTCTTTGCAACAAATTCAAGCAGAGACAAAGAACAATATTTAACAAATAACAAAATAAACAATATCAGATCAGTCTGTATGTGTTATTTAATGTGTTTCCAATGTTACTTAGTCCAATGTTCTTAGTTTGAAATCTGCCAAACAGTTTTATGAAAATACACAAGAAATTATCACTAAAATATGCAATAAGAACAAATGTGATTTGCTTATGGTAAACGTGTGTGTTACTGTCTTTTTTTACAGTAGATTAAGAGACCTACCTTATTCGATACTTCCTGTTAAAGGGAACATTCATTATTACCGATGATTTATATATATATATATATATATATATATATATATATATATAGGCCTATATGGATAATTAATAAATGACATAGGCCTATCGGCGATCGGTACAAGTATTGAACTTTTTTTTCCTTTATGTAAGGTTATCTTAATTGTTAAAATAATACATACATTAACGAATAAAATCTTTGTAAGGTATTTTTTAGGTATTCAGTACATATAGGCAAACAGTTCTGGTTTGTGTATTTTACCGGTTTGTGGAGCAAAGCTGGCCGGATGAGGGTCTTAACATCTTAGTAAAATGAAACAGACTTTTCTAATTTGGAATATTTTTTTCAGCTTACAAAGACTCAGTCCCAGTAACCAAGATCCTCATTGGATTATCCGTAGTGTCCAACATTGGCTCTGTCTATCTTGCATACATTCTCTACTTTGTACTTCATGACTTCTGCGTAGTCTGTGTCAGCACTTATGTAGTGAATGCTATAAACTTGGCACTCACGATAGTCAAACTAAAGAATTTACAACAGGAAACATCTAAGGCTAAGGCTGAATAGATAAACTTTAGTAATCTAAGACTCCAAAAGACTGATAAAACATCACACTGGGTATTTATCGATAAATTTCATATTCTTATATATAGGTATTGGAATTTGTATATTATTACCGGCAATGTTACCTTAGCATACTATATTAGATTGTCATGTGATAAAGGTAAAAAATATCTTTTGTGCATCAGTAATGATAGCATTTTGGGGTCTGCATGTGTACCAGACCTCGATGGTACTATAACAATTAGTTAGAAGAGTTTTTCATGAAAAAAATCAACTTCTACGAAAGCTTAACAATGTTTATTTTTTTATTAATAAATATAAAATTAAAATAAACAATTAGCAAAATTATATAATTTTGTACTAAAATGTTGATGTAAACCTCAGAAAGAGCTTATAAATTCAATTTTGCTAATTTTTTGCCCAAAACTCAAAAATTACCCGGACCTATGTAACTACTTGGAACCCAATGAAACTAAAACTTCACTACCCGCAGCCCCCAGTTAACATCTTTCATATATTTTTTGACAGATGAATTTCTCAATCACAAAACCTCCCCCTCTCCTTATCCTATTTGTAACTGTTAGGTGAAACTCATTTAGCTTGCTCAATAGTTAAAAATCTAGGATTTAAGACTTACAGGGATTAAATCCATGTATCGGGAATGGTTTTGGATTTTTTTTTACAGTTAATTTTTAATGTTTTTTAGCAAATTTCCCTACAGGGAAGTAGCTATTACCGTAGGTGGCGCTGTAAGACCTATGCCCGGGACCAATTTACTTATTCATTTTGTTGTCCCCAGAGGCCAAAAACACAATTCGTTCAAATTAATATATTTATATACGTCCGTAAACGTGATAACTTGAGTAATTTTTGTCTGTTTTTCATGAAATTTTGTTTAAAGGTGTTATTAGTAATGGAGAAAATTAAAAAAATTTGTAATTTTTAATTTCCATGTTCTTAAGGAAAATATTATAAAATGTTGTAGTTTGCTTGTTTGTGGATATATTTTGACCAAACGTGGCAAATTTATTTATTCTATACTAAGATATTAATATTTTACTAAAATACACACATTATTAGTTTCCTTGTAGCAGCAAACCTCGTTATACCTAATGGTATTTAAATAGATTTGAAAATCAATTCCGAAAAATCTTAAATAATTGATTGATTTATTGAATTACAAATTTGCTGTGATAGCATAGATAGTTTATATTATTTATATACAACCTATATTCCTTATACATTCCAATTGAGTGATAATAATATAATAAAACTATCTAAAGTATGAGAAGCATAAAACTTTAAGAATAGTAATTTGTATATGTACACTTTATTTACTCTTTGTATTTATACATGTCATGTATTCTTTATTTAGTAACATTTAAAAATAGCTTTATTTATACTGTACGTTATACTTCATAGTATGTATGTTTTATTGCTGTTGTGTCAAACTGTAATATAAGAATATGTGATTCTGTTTATAATACATTGACCTTGTTTTGTCATCTCGCCATGATAATTTGAATTATTTTGACAATGAGTAAACACTCATCCATAAATAACTTAAGATTTCTATCAACATTTAACATACACATAAACAAGACTGATGTTTCCTACATTACTTGTAGAAATGTAAAATAAAATAGTAGGAATGTATACACTTCCTTTTTGTTTAGTTGTCTGCCCAGTTGGAATAGAATTGTTAAAACTGTCAGTAAAATAAAGTTGATTTTTGTAAGTAAATTTGTATTCATATTTCATTTTTACCGAATCTGGTCAATATTTTTACAAGATCACAAAGTGTTATGAAACTATAGTATTTCTTAAGTATAAATTGAAAACATAAATTATATAAATAAGATGCACGGCTCTGCATGTAACACTCTATTTACATCAAAGATGTGGGTGAAACATGGGGTGCACTGTGACTAGCTTAGCCTTATTTTACAAATGAATAAAATCAAGATGTTGCAGCTATTTTTAAGACGTTTTTATTAGCTCGCTTTCTTTTCTGTTCGGTAAAAAGTTTGAAATCGATTTTAAACTTAACTTCCCGATGAGCTAGAGACGAAACACAGCTCACAAATGGATAACAATACAATATTGATCATTTAGTTTTCATATTTTCCTTGGGCTAAACACGTGAGGCGCATGGGATAAATAACAATAATTCAATAGTTTAAGATAATGGTAAATTAGCTATTTCACGCGCCTGACGTTTTTGGTTTTGAATCTTACAAGTATTTATTCTCTCCCCACATACTTTTAAATTATTTTCTACTTTTTAGTGCGTTTAGAAACATGGTATTTAAAAAGATTTTTTTTTATAGATTATTGTTATTCCTTCTTTTTATCCTTAAAGCAAGTTTAAAAAGCCAAATAAAGTTGTTCTTGAAAATCTTTCATAAAATTAGGATTTTAAAAAAATTTTCAATTTATAAAAATTCAAATGACAGCCATTTTAGCAAATTTTCCTATGGTTAAGCAGCTATTACCGTAGGTAAGACACGGTAAGACCTAGGCCCAGGACCGATTTTCTTTTTCATTGTGATATCCCCAGAGGCCAAAAACCCCATTCGTTTCCGTGAACATGATAACTTGAGTAATTTTTATCCGATTTTGATAAAATTTTGTTTGAAGGTGTAAGGCGGGATAAACTTGAATGAGTTCGCGATACAGCATGATCGGACCATGGAAACGGGGTTTAATGGGGTAAAAATTGGTTTTTCTCATTGTTGACCCTCAAAACATAAAGTTTCCAAATAAATTGTTCTCTAAACCTTCTTAAAGAGCTTAAAAAAACAAACAATTCAGTATATCAAAGTGTTTTTGTACGGTTATTGGTTATGGAAAAAACTTTGAAATTCCCATGTTATTCTTATGGACAATATTGTAAAATGTTGTAGTTTGCTTTTTTATGGATACATTTTGATAAAACTTGGGAAATATATTGATTTTATACTAAGCTATAGTTATATTACTTAAAAACACACTTTATTAGTTTCCTTGTAGCAGCAAACCTAGTTACTTGTTAAACCTAATGTTATTTTAATAGATCAATTGAAAATCAATTCAGCCAAATGGAAATTCGCTTGGACGGCAGGTTTGCTGCGGCAGGGGTATTATAGTTTCAAATTGGGCCAGCTTAGCTTTTTTTCTGTCATAGGTCTCTTATTCCTATTTATATAAAAAAATTCCTAAAGATCAGTTAGAAAAATTGAAAGTTGTTACCTACAAATTGTTTTATGTAAAAAAACAAATTGGCGGATATCTGGTCAACAAAGAGTTTTTTTGTAACTTAGTTCTCGATTTTCTCTTTATTTTGACCAATAAAACCATTTCCCGGAGTTTGGAGTTTATAGGAGTATAGGAGTGGAGTCTATCTCGGCCTTTATTGAAAAAAACCACTTCAAAATTTCTGAAATCTTTAAACAATGTTCCTGGTGCATTAACTTTTCATCTTGGCGAAGCAACTGAGAACAAGAGGCTACGTCGAAGGCTCCCTCAAGATCTATTGAATGAATGAAGCCTAAAGAAGTTTAACATATTTCTCTAAATTAATTATGTTACAGGGTGTCACAGGTCTGGGCGAACCCACGATGTTATTATTGATAATTTCTTGTTCATTTTGTTAACACTTCTGTGAATAATGTCATCATTGAACCAGAAATAAATGCTGTAAAAAAAACTTGTTTCTACTTTCAAGTTAGTTGTTGTGTTGTGTACCCTTTTAAGGTGAAGGTGAATGTATGTTTTGAAGCCAAGAAAATCAGTTAAAAAAGTGTTTCATGAGTCTTTACATTTGCAGTTGTAGAAAAAAAACATGAAAGTTAATACAACGTAAGTTTCTTAAATAGGCTTGATTTAAAACAGCTCAGCTGTTATTTTTTAAATAGTTCCAATTAATAGATGAGTGAACGAAGTGAACGAATCTATGTATCGTGTATAGCGGAGTCGCAGAAAAGTTGTCCGCTTGTGTGTGTGTGTGTGTGTTCGTTCGCACCAAAAACTCAAGAACCGTCGCACTTATAGCGTTCAAATTTTGCACAAATAATTATGACACCAGTGGGAAGACCTCATTAAAATTCTACACGATTCTGATCAGTAGTAATTATAAAACCCTTAAAAAACATGTTTAAATTTGTCCCATAAGAATAACATTAGGAGCTACCTTCTTCTTCTTTTTATTTGTTTACGTTTTGCAACCAACAATTTTGTTGTCTACTTAAGACAGAGAGAACGATCTTTACTCTAAGCTCTTTTATTCATGGAGTAAACAGTTTGGCGTCTATGTCTATATATCATTATAATTTCACAGCTTTCAGAATAATGTTATTTAAGCTAATTAAATTTCACAGCTTTCACATTAATAAGTTGAACTTAACAATATTAGTCGGCAGTTATATACCGTTTATGTTCAGTATTAAAATTCGCCTTTAAATTAAAAATATATATGTATGTATTTAGAATAAAGCAGCTTTTTACATTATTCAATTTAATGTTGGCATTGGATATTAAATATTCAAAGATGTTGGTATATGTTCATACTAAAAAGCCATGCGAAGGGGGGGGGGGGGGGACAGGTCCACGACGTAGAGAGTGGTAAAGGAAGCGGAAAGGTGATCAGTGAAAAGAAAGGAGTACGAAAACCCTTTATAACTGTTAAATTAATATATCTTTAATACTTAAATACTATGGAAATATAGGGAAACAGGTCTACGATGTAGGAAGTAGTTAAATAGTGAAGGAAGTAGTCAAGGCGAGCGCTGCGGAGTGTGGGAACCCTTTGTGACAGTTAGAATAATGTATCTGCAATTCTAAAAATGCTATGGGAAGGGAGGGAAACAGGTCCACGATGTAGGAAGTGGTGAAGGACGTAGTCAATGTGAGCAGTCCGGAGTGTGGGAAGCCTTTTTGACAATTATAATAATATATCTGCAATTCTAAAAATGCTATGGGAAGGGAGGGAAACAGGTCCACGACACGTAGGAAGTGGTGAAGGAAGTAGTCAAGGCGAGCCGTCCGGAGTGTAGAAACCCTTTGTGACAGTTAGATTAATGTACCTGCAATACTAAAATGCTATAGGAAGGGACGGAAACAGGTCCACGACGTAGGAAGCGGTGAAGGAAGTAGTCAAGGCGAGCAGTCCGGAGTGTAGAAACCCTTTGTGACAGTTAGATTAATGTACCTGCAATACTAAAATGCTATAGGAAGGGAGGGAAACAGGTCCATGACGTAGGAAGTGGTAATGGAAGTAGTCGAGGCGAAAGTGAAAGTTAGCGAAAGTCGAAACCCTTTGTGAAATTTAGATTAATGTAACTGCAATTCTAAAATGCTATGGGAAGGGAGGGAAACAGGTCCACGACGTAGGAAGTGGTGAAGGGAGTAGTCAAGGCGAGGAGTCCGGAGTGTGGAAACCCTTTGTGACAGTTAGATTAATGTATCTGCAATAATAAAATGCTATGAGAAGAGAGGGAAACACGTCTACGACGTAGGTAGTGGTGAAGGAAGTAGTCAAGGCTAGCTGTCCGGAGTGTGGGAACCCTTTGTGGCAGTTAGATTAATGTACCTGCAATACTAAAATGCTATGGGAAGGGAGGGAAACATCTCCACGACGTAGGAAGTGATAAAGGAAGTAGTCAAGGTGAGAAATGCGGAGTGTGGGAACCATTTGGTGACAGTTAGATATATGTATCTGCAATGAAACAGTTGCAATACTAAAATTCTATGGAAATAAGGGTGGGAAACAGGTCCATGACGTAGTAAGTGGTGAAGGAAGTAGTCAAGGCGAGCAGTGCGGAGTGTGGGAACCGTTGGTGGCAGTTAGATAAATGCATCTGCAATACCAAAAGGCTATGGGATGGGAGGAAAACAGGTCCACATCGTAGGAAGTGGGGCAGGATTTGGTAAATGCGAGAAGTTCTGAGTGTGGTAACAGTTTATGGTAGTTAGATTAATGTACATTCAATACTAAAATATGCTGGGGGAAGGGAGGGAAACAGGTCCACGACGTAGGTAGTGGCAATGGAAGTGGTAAATTCAAGCAGTGCGGAGTGTGGGAACCGTTTATGGCATTTAGATTCATTAGATAGATGAACATTTATTGGATTTTTAATCATTTTTAGATTATATAATAGCGCTATCGTTGATATAAATCATCATTGTAAGCAATATGATATTTTTTTGGAGATTCCTTACACTGTGCTTTGGAAATTTATGTAAGTTAAATTAGTTCAGTTTGGCTTAGTTTTGTTTATGATAGGCCTCATAACAAATATGAAAATAGGCTTCATTTAACCAAAAGACGTTTTGTACAGGAACGATGGATTTACCTCCTATCGATAATTGTTGGAAATCCATTACGTATATTACCAATGACTTTGGTTAATTAATGGACGAGAAGTTAGGATTGTTGTTGACTGAGATTTGGTTGATTTGCCCATACAAATAACATTATTGTGTTCACCAGTGACACCGGTAAGTAGGCTAGGTGTGGGTGGACTCTTTCATTATTGTGCTCATGTTCACTCATCCCGTTACGCGCAGAATAAGCGTACTACTAGTTGTTATGAACTTCAGTAATGGAGCCATTTACAAATAAGTCAAGTCTTTCTATGACCAAGGCACGAATTCTTGTTAGCTCATCCCCAAAATATAGGCCTAAACCATTCAAGTGAGAACAAAAGTTCAAAAAACAGGCCAATATATGATAACAGCCTATGAAATAAATGTTTAATGTCACAGAACTAGTATTTTAATGGTCCTTTTCAACTTCTTTGTACTTTACTTTGAGAATGGAAAAGTTTCTTGTAACTTGAAAAAAAGCTACATTATTTCATTTACCCCCATTATGAAATTTAATAAAAATAACTAAACATTTTATTCAAAGTTTTATGTGCAAGCCATGCTAAATGATGTAGTTACTAAGAAATGCTAGCCATGCTAAAATAGCTAAGAAGTAAAGCCTCATCTCCAGATTTTTTTGGACTTAAGGCATTTTCACCTAGTGAATGCTATTTTTCAAGGCAATTAAATTATCTTAAGTCCAAATTTTATAAAAAAAAGGCTAAAAAAATTGTATTTTCGGTAACTAAGCTTAGGGGAAAAACCATTTAAGGTTTTTTAAGATATAAAATATAAAAAAAAATTATTTGAGTGCGCTTAACGAAAACGGAAATTTTGCTCTCCTGTAAAATTTGTTTTTTTGGAGTTAATGTGATATTTCTTACCAGGGCAGAATTTATGTTTTTTCAATCACAATTTTTCACCGTGAGCGCCCGGGGAGCGGTTGCTACACCACGCTTCACATTGTTGCCACTCTGATGCCTACCACTGGTTTGCAGGCACCTCAACTCATCGACATTATTACTTTCACCTGTCTTACCAACATGTTGGTCTTAATCACTAACAAGACTACAAGATCGCGCCACTCATCCTTCACTCATATTTGTGCCGTCCCCAATGGGGGACGCCCAGCGAACACAGAATGTTTTCGCTGGGGACGCCAGATAATATCCATTATGGCGTCCCCAATCTTTCCTATAACGACGGTATATGAGGTATGACGTTGATGTATATGAGTGATTGTGTTTGATAATATCACAACGAACCAGTAATAAGTTACAGCAATTCACATTTGTTTAACAATCGATGCCTTTCAATCAATCTGGAATTCAAAAAGTATTGTTAACATTTTTCCCTTTCTCGAATGATGCTTGCTGGTTGTAAACAGGCTAAACATTGATTTTTTTCATGGTGAGCTATGGTATTATAACAAAATATAATACGAATGCCTATTTCATTTCTTGTTGCAGCGAAATAAGGTACTTATAAGATCTTATCATAGTTTATAAATAGGAAACTAATAATACATTTTTACCCCTTTATTTGTTTAGCATGAAGGAGTTTTTTGCAAATAAACAATTCAAGTTCCTGGGGTTACCTACGTAACGGCATCATTCCCTTCCAATTTCCTAAGGTGTCCTAAAACCCCTGATGTTTTTAAAATAAGCATTCTTCAACTTTAATCCCATTAAAATGTTCGTTTTCAAGCGTACTAGGGGAACTTGTGCGACCTCGCACGAAATAAGATTGGACGGTCTTATTATACTGTGTGAATGAATCCATTCAGTTAGCTAAGTATTGTACTCAATATAACAAAAAAAAATATGTAACAAAAATTTTTGTTATATTTTTAATGTCAGGTTAAGTGTAAGAAAGGGCCATGTGGCCCTAACTTTGCCTGAAAAAATAAAGGATTTTTCATTTCATTTCATTTCAATATAAGGTAAACACTTACTCAAAATAAAAACTTATTTAATTAAGCTGAAATTTAATGCTTACGATTGTTTGTCATTATCTTTTATAACATCCGCTTGTGACATCAAAGTATTTAAAAGCTTAATCCATGGAGGATGCAGTTTTGTGGATGTTCTAGCATTTCTTTTCTCAATAAAAGTTCAGTGTGTAGGTTAAAAGAGGTCGCCAACCTCTTAAAAAAAATGTTTTCTGGGTATGTTTTCTCTTGGCTGACCTTGACTCAGTCCATCCTTATCAACATTTGCACTCAATGCTATTTTTAAACAGCCTTTCGAGTTTCATAACAATTTCTTGTCTTACGTGTTTGTCAAACTTAAAGTTTAGACCTACCCGGTGTCGTAGGAGACCCCTTTCTTTTTCTTCAATTTTTTTAGGAAACTTGGGGAACTGGAATTGCGGAGATCAATCGTCACTAATAAATAACTGAATATTTACATCAATAAACCCCTCTTATTCTGGTACCTTTTTTCAGTATCGTATTGTTTATTTATTTCGAGACTATACACATTTAGACCATTCGGATCATTCAGAATAGTGCTTTTACTTATGTAGACCCTAACTATTATTATTGTTTAAAGTTTCACTTGATTATATAATGTCATCAACTGATGAACCACTCCTACAAACCATGAAATAGCACTGATGCAGATGTGCCTTGATTATTTGCAGCTTCCGAATGGCATTATGTCATTACCTAGTTCAACGGATTAGTAGGAAATTTCAGTTGTAGGCCTATACATAGTAAGTTATCAAAAAACTTGTTGTCAGATCATCTCCCGTCACCACGGTGACGTCATGGCCATCTTCTGCGACTACGGCAACATCGTAGTTATCTCAAACGATCACAGCAATGTCGTGGTCATCTCCTGCGATTACGGCAACATCGTAGTTATCTCAAACGATCACAGCAATGTCGTGGTCATCTCCTGCGATTACGGCAACATCGTAGTTATCTCAAACGATCACAGCAATGTCGTGGTCATCTCCTGCGATTACGGCAACATCGTCGTTATCTCAAACGATCACAGCAATGTCGTGGTCATCTCCTGCGATTACGGCAACATCGTAGTTATCTCAAACGATCACAGCAATGTCGTGGTCATCTCCTGCGATTACGGCAACATCGTCGTTATCTCAAACGATCACAGCAATGTCGTGGTCATCTCCTGCGATTACGGCAACATCGTAGTTATCTCAAACGATCACAGCAATGTCGTGATCATCTCCTGCGATTACGGCAACATCGTCGTTATCTCAAACGATCACAGCAATGTCGTGGTCATCTCCTGCGATTACGGCAACATCGTCGTTATCTCAAACGAGCACAGCAATGTCGTGGTCATCTCCTGCGATTACGGCAACATCGTAGCTATCTCAAACGATCACAGCAACGTCGTTGTCATCTCCCACGATTACGGCAACATCATTATCGTCTATCGCGATACATCGTGGTAATTTGCCGAGAATGTGATTTACGTGGTAAGACGTGAAAAGATAAAACACTGCGATTTGTGGCAGATTGCATTGGGCATTATTAAACACTTTAAATTTCCCGTTCCCATACAAAACATACGTACAATTCTCAGCTTTTTTTCTGATCATCAAAATTCAAATTCAGTTCTTAGTTTTTCCGATCGGGTGGACCTTATAAATTGAAATAAACACAGCTAGATTTGGTTTTAGTGGAAATGCAAATGAAACTTGTGGACTTTCTAAATTTTTGAATTACAAAATCTTAACAAAGTTTTTTTGTGTTTCTTTCGAGTGTCATGACTTGAATTAGAATCTAAAGCCAGTTTGAAAATCTGCTCACCCAGATGGTTGTTTTAATGTGCAGTATAATATGTGGGGGTAATGTTAAAAACAAGGATTCTTTAATTTTTTAGACATCACGTTATTTTACGGTGACCATTGATTGTATGCTAATTCCTGGTTAATTGTGTCCTTAAAATCATCAGGGATTCGAGTTTTGTGAGTATAGACGGAAAATGTGTGAAAACCTAGAGTAAATTAACATACGCTCAAATCTGGTGGCTGTATGACCAAAGAGTATCACCGAAAAGTGAAATAACCCTTCATAGAAACAGCATACACTCTACGGCCATCCTGACCAGTCATCATCCGCGGTGGGTATTGTTGACAAAATAGATAGGTATTGCTTATCAAACGCTGCTATATCTCCTGAGACTTCATACAATTACATACAGTGGTGTGCCAAGGCTAGTAAAATAACATAATATACAGCAAATAAAAGCACGCCTCCCCCATTACCCTATACGCGTATTCTATCCGTTTGAAAAACATCCGGTTTCTGACGGTCACCCTGAACATCTATCAGGACGTTTTTTAAGCGACTCAAGTCGATACACATTTTGAGAATAGTTGAGCTGTCATCATGCAGCGTGGCGGGCCGAGGCTGGGACGGCGACAGCGGCAATGACACTCTTGGTCCTGTGTGGGATCTGCAGTGGGCGCCGCCCCACCCACCTCGGGCCTACGTCACATTCCTCCAATCTATCTCAAATTTGTTTTTGGAAAATATTTACATCAGTAGTAGAAACCACCTCTATTTCATTCAGTGTAGCGTACCTTGGATTAGACAAATTCACCCTATCATCATCATTCAACGGTGTCCAATGCTATGTTTACCAGTTACACTAAGTCAAAACGCAAACTCTTTATTTCTGGCAATTTGTGGCAAACCTATGTTTTAATGTAACAACTTTTGTAGAAACAACCTATGTAGTTACGGAAAGTCGTGAATCATGGAGTTTACCACGTAATACAATATAGGACAGATGTAGGTGAGAAGAAATGCGAAGGTTATGTTGGACGTGGAGGTCTAACCATCATATAAGGAGGCACGAGGTTGTGATGTGATCATGTCGCCAAGTCACTTGCCGCTGCTGCACTACAGCACTACTACAAACAGTAGGCTACTCAGCACAGTAGGTAATGTAGGGGTGTTTTTGGTGACTTCTTCATTTAAACTTCTTCATTTATGTATAGAAAGGAAAGCATACAAGTGTAAACACGGTAAACATATTTGATATTTAGAGTAAAATTAGTTTACACTTATGTTGAAAAGCTTTACGAAAGAAAAATAAAACATTAGTGCTGAAGGGTAAATTAGTATTACGTTACTGGTAAATTTTAAATGATTTACAACAACGATGGATGTTGACCGATTTACTACCCTAACTACTACCCTTACACATAATAATCCATTCTATTTAGTTAGCATATTACGTTTCATTGATTTGGGTTTGTTATATTTATACTACAATCTTAATGAGTTATCCTGCTCTTTATTACGTTAATTAGCAATTGCTAAAGGGGTTGGGAAAACAAACCATGTAGCCAACAGGTAAAGTTATAAGCAATTATTAAAATTTTCCAAATATACTGTTACATATCAGATTGTATATACAGTATATTCATATTCCGCAGCAGCAATCCTGCAGACTAACGAATTTTTATTTGCCATATTGTATTTTAACTAAAAATATATCTCCTTAAAAATGTCAGATCTATTCCCTAATTAAATAACATTAGTTTAACCAATGAATATTTAGGTCTGCTGCTTCAGGCGAGGTAATAAAGTGCTTTTGAGTAAAATTTTAAAAGTTTAGACTAAAAAAAATAAATTATCCAAATTTGATCTAAATATTTTCACAGCCAAAGCAAACCAAAATAGTTTCTACATAAGAATAACATTTACATTTTAAATTTCTATTTTGTAATTTTTTCCATTACCATAACAACATAACAGCTGAAGCGCATAACAACGATCCAATCTTCTAAAAAAAAAAAAAAACTTCGGTTGGTATCAACTGAAAGATATAACAACAATTTGTGACAAAATAACAACAAAATATAAACATGTTTTACCAGCATATACCAAGCATAACAGACTTATGTATAGATAAAATATTTGAATGTTGCTTGGTATAATTGTAGCAGGAGATTTTAACATTAATGTCTTAGAGGATGCTAAAGATCAGTTAATGAAAAATAAGTTTGTTAATTTACTAAAAACATTTGGTTGCAAATGTCATGTTAATTTTCCCACTAGAGTTACTGAGTCAACAGCTACAGCAATTTATAATTTTGTTTCCAATATTGACAAAGGTAAAATTCATGTTGAAGGTATGATGTCTCAGATCATGATGCCCAATTGTTAATGTTGTCTCGTTTAAACAATGCCGAACACAGTAATGTTCAAAAAATTACAATAAGTAAAAGAGCTTACTCAGAGGAAAATATGGCTTTATTTAAAAATCATTTGTGCCAAGAAAATTGGTATTCTGTGTACACAGCTCCAGTTGAGTTAAAATATAACTGTTTTTTTTTGTAATCTTTTTACATATTATTTTAATATATCATTTCCAAAAATTAAAACTAGAAAGTATAAGGCTAGAAACATGTGGATATGAAATTCACTAATAGAAGAAAAGAAAGAAATATCAGAGCTGGCACTAACTTATAGATCAAACAAAAATAAATTTCTAGGTAAAATCATTAAACAAAAAAACATAACCTACCATACAAATGTCATTAATAACAAAAGAAATTACTACAAGCAGAAAATCCTAAGATCGAAAAATATTAGTAAAGATGTTTGGCAATTAATTCATCAGGAAACCGGCTCATATAAGTTGAATACAAAAAACATTCATTTAGAAAAAATAATACCACTGTTACTGATCCTTTACAAGCAGCTAATACTTTTAATGATTATTTCATTAATATTACAAAGGAATCTGTAACGGGCAATAGTTATGGTTCTGCCAATGAAAATTGTAGTCAAAGAGATAGGAATAATATCAAAAATTCTTTCCATTTAACACCAGTTGATGAAAAATAAATACTAACCATTATTCGAAATCTAAAAAACAAACATGCTAGTGGTTATGATGAAGTGCCTATTAAAGTGATTAAACATGTTGATAAAGCTATTGTTAAGGTCTTAGTTCACTTAATAAACTCATCTTTTGTGTCAGGTATATTTCCATCAAAACTTAAAATTGCAAAAGTTATTCCTATACACAAAAGAGATTGTCCAAAAAATCCGTCAAATTACAGGCCACTGTCAATTTTACCCACAATTTCAAAAATGTACGAAAAATCTGTCTATACTAGATTAATGTACTTTCTCGAAAGTAACTGCTTAATTAATGGCAACCAAAATGGATTTAGGGCTGGAAAGTCGACCAAAACAGCAACTGTTCAATTTATTGAGTCCATTATTGATGCCATTGATAGGGGTGAAACATGTATTGGACTATTTATGGACCTACAAAAGGCATTTGATAGAGTCTGTCATGGTACCATGGTTAAAATTTAGACACAGTTTGGTATTAAAGGCAAATCACTTGATTGGTTCGGATCATATCTAACCGATAGGCAACAGTTTGTTGAAATAGCTTCTACAACTGGCGGAAAACAAACAAAAATAAATTCAAAAACACAGTGCATAAAATTTGGAGTCCCACAGGGGTCAATATTAGGCCCAATATTATTCATTATATACATAAATGGAATTAATGATATATTGGTTAATCAGAATGCCAACAAAGTAGTTCTGTATGCTGATGATTCAAATTTGAAAGTTTCAGGACCAACTGATGAACATATTAAAAGATCTGCAGAAGAAGAGTTAAATAACATAGTTTCATTTTTGACAAGTCTAAACTTACAGATAAATTTTAATAAAACAAACGTTATAAATTTTAATACAAATAAGAACCAAAATGGGTTTTCAACAGAAATAAAATTAAATGACAACATTATTTCAGAAGTAACGGATACAAAATTTTTGGGTTTAATTGTGGATTGCAATTTAAACTGGAATAAACATATTAACAAAGTTAAAGGCAAAATGAATTCAAGAATTTATGTCCTTAGAAGATTATCTAAATTTTGTGATTTAGCCACTTTAAAAGTAATATATTTTAGCTTGGTTCACTCACATTTGGCATACAACATTTGTGTAACAACTCATCAACTCATCAACATTGGCCAACAACTCACAAAAACTTAAAAAAGATATTGAAACTCCAAAAGAAATGTATAAGAATCATGCTAGGTTTGAAGTACAAGGCTCATGTAAAGGATAGGTTTAGGGAACTGGGAATTTTGTCGGTGTTTGATTTATATATATATATATATGAATGTGTTATGTATGTGAAGCAAAACATGACTAATACTAGTTTTCTTGGCCATAATCATACTTATAACACTAGACACAAAAATGATTTGAAATTAGAAACACATAGATTAGAATTAAAAAAAAGACCACATATAAGGGTGCCAAATTCTTTAATAGATTGCCCGAAAGTTTGAAAAGTGAGACTAACATTAAGAAATTCAATAAAAATTTAAAGGCATTCATGATTGAGAACACTTGTTATTCAATTAATTAATGAGTTTTTAAATAAAATAAGTTAAATGGC